TGTTACCATATGTCTCAATATGTCCGATCGATAACCCTAATTAGTTTCTGGTTACTTACTGCTCTATATCATATATTATGGAAGTTCTTAAATTGTACTTTTATGATCTATATTTCATCATTTTAACAGTCGTCGTTTCACCTCATAAACAGGCTATACTCTCAATACTTACAAAATAAAAAGAGTAAAGATTAAAAGATGAATTCCTTTACAAATGTACCTCCTGGCTTCAGATTCCATCCAATTGATGAAGAACTTGTAGACTACTACCTGAGGAAAAAAGTTGCATCAAAGAGAATAGAAATTGATTTCATCAAGGACGTCGATCTTTACAAGATTGAGCCTTGGCATCTTCAAGGTTTGACTGGAAAAAACCTAATATCTATCCTTAGTGATCCTTGCTTTGATCATATACACTATTTAATATGGAAAGGCTTAAGATTTTTTTTTTTGGTGTGATAATTTAGAGTTATGCAAAATAGGAAACGAAGAGCAAAGTGAATGGTACTTCTTTAGCCATAAAGACAAGAAGTATCCCACAGGAACTCGAACCAATAGAGCGACAAAAGAAGGATTCTGGAAAGCCACTGGAAGAGACAAGGCTATATATAAAAGACATAGTCTTATTGGTATGAGAAAAACTCTTGTATTTTACAAAGGAAGGGCCCCAAATGGACAGAAATCCGATTGGATCATGCACGAGTATCGCTTAGAAACAAATGAGAATGGAACTCCTCAGGTATTTACATTGATCCAAACTCGACATCTTTAGCTCGCATATAGTTTACTTGTATAGGAACATAAATCTTTCATATATATATTTGATCTTTCTTTGATATCTCTTCTAAGAGGCATTTGAGTTATAGACATTAGGACACATGTGTAACTTCTATGTCAAATACATAATATTCACACTTGCGTTGTTAAATGTAACTCAAGACATAAAAAAAATGAGAATCATTGTTCCATCTTCGTATTTGTATTTGTCGTGATACGAATTCGAGTCTCACTGGTTACTACAATTAACATGGCCAATCGGTGTGACGGTGAAGAGCTTTTCTGTTTTTTTCTTACTTAGCGTTTGAGAGAATTAGTTGGAGCCTTGCCCAATT